GGACCAGCGCGGCCAGGGCAAAGTTAAGGGGCGCGGCCAGCCGGCCAGCCCTTTTTTTTTCCGAAGACACAGAGCCCAGGTAAAGAGTTCACGTGCGCGGCCAAAGTACAAGAGGAGGACCAGGCCTGCACAGAGCCCAGCCACAGAGTTCAGGGGCGCGGCCAAAAGGATGACAAGAGGAGACACAGAGCCCAGCCACAGAGTTCAGGGCCGCGGGCAAGAGGAGGACAAAAGGAGGACAAGGCCTGGACACAGCCACAGAGCCCAGGCACAGAGGACAAGAGACCAGCCACAGGGGCGCGGCCAAGAGGAGGACAAGAGGAGGACACACACACAGAGCCGGGCCACAGAGCCCAGCCAGAGGACAAGAGGAGGACGAGGCCACAGAGCCCAGCCACAGAGTTCAGGGGCGCGGCCAAGAGGAGGACAAGGCCTGGACACAGAGCCCAGCCACAGAGTTCAGGGGCGCGGCCAGTGAGTGTGGCCAGCTCCTTTTTTTCTAAGATAGAACCCCAACAGTAAACTGTTTGGGGAACTAAATATGTTCTTTCTTCATGCAGCGGGACAGGTCGTGGCCTGTCTTAGTCCGTGAAGGTGGCAGCTTGCGGCTCAACGAGTCGTCTCCGAGTCGTCTTTGCATGGACACCGATCTCGGTGGGGAGGCTTTGCGTTTCTCATGTCTCAGCTTCGTGAGAACCACGCCTAAACACTAGTGGGGAGTGAGAATTCCATGGAGTCTGTCGGAGAATTCCACTCCGGATCCGGTGCTCAAACAGGTGTCCAAGGCGTTGAATCGAAGTCGGTGCGAAACGGTGTAACTGTATATATTGGGTCTATCCGAGTCTACCTGGGCCTCAGTGGATGATGATGGTTCAGTTGCAGGCCTTGTTCAAGCAGAATGATGATTTGCTTGTTTACGGGTCCTGTTACAGGTAAGAACGGACAAACACTAGGTGTATATATACAGTACCCTCCCTGGAACTAACATGGAAGTGGAAAAGCCCCTGGAAATGCCTCTTTGTAGGGCAGCATCGTCTTCCAGGGGTCACACCATCCCGTCCCATGATTGTTGGAGGGAGTGAATACATTTATGAGCACTAGGTTCGTGTTGAGGGTCATAGCGGTAGAGAATTGTATCTAGTTTCATGTTTGATGCCCATCAAACATGCTTGATGGGTTGTACCTGTGTGTGTTCCTGGAAACCAAGTACGACTCTAAGGGTCGCAGGACCGCCTCCGCCATCTGTTGAACTGTGCTCGACCACGTCTGAGCTTTGAGCTGAGATGGGCTGCAGGTCGGCGTGGTGGCACATTAGCATTTGGTACTTTAGCTTCTTGTTCCTAGCGATGGCCTCCACCCTAGTAGCTTCTTGCTCTAATATCCTTAAGGCTCTTCAGCGTGAGATCCAGCATGCGAACATGGATTCAAATCAGGCTGCCACCAAATCTCTTTACAGCCATCAAGGGTGTACCTGGAATCAAGGCCAGTCACACAGTCTAATATCAACAAGCAATGCTCAAACATGAACAGCACCAGTCAAGTCATTCAATGACTGTATTCCGCTATATAGTATAAACTCTCTATATGAATATATCTATCTGTATATCTATCCAAATATACGCATACTTGTGTTGCGTGTACATATATAATACAATAAAATACAGAACATAGAAGAGCGGATAACTTGATAACTGTGAGACCCTCCAAGTTCTGTACTTTTTTTTTGTCACAAGCGATGGCTGCAACCACCTCGACCCCTCGTGACGTAGAGAACATGACCACCCTCGAGTACTGCTTGTTCGGCTTTCCAAAAAGCCTCTGAGACGTGCCAGATCGGCTGTCTGTCTTATGCTTTCCTGCACAAGTTCTGCGCCACTAAATGCAACACTCCATACAGTAATTGGTGAAAGCATACTCCTGCGGAGGAGTCCCTCTTATATCAGTTTTCGTTCAGTGGGGTCCGCGTCCTTTAAATTACAACGGACGGTGTCGCATGAATTTCCCACGGTGCCCTGGTTCGATTCGGCTCAAATGCAGCGGGGCGCTGTCGCACAACGGAGGGTCATTGGCCACATGCGTGTAGGTGTGGGTGTTTGATATATTTCGATTCTGATTGATTCTGCTTCTTCTGTGATGTTATATGATTGGTGGTCTATCTGTTGTTAATAATCTTAGTATAGGTTTTTGACCGCTGCTCATATGCGTTTGGTTGTGAACATGTTGCAGCTTGATGTCTTGGACGGTTTTTCCAAACCGGTCGACCGGTCAAAGGGCCTCTTCGGAAGGGAATTCGGGGAGAGGTCTCCAACCTCTTTCCATGCACCAACCACAAACCGACCCAAACCGCTCCATGCGAAACTCGCACTTCCACGGTTTGCTTTGCTTGAATCGGGTTCTTAAGGGTATACTTCCGTTCCTCCATGTCTGCCCAAGACTTCCTTTCTCCTTCGGAGCCTGGCTAGTAGCTTCTGCTTGCTACATCAAGTGACATGCCGTTTGAGCCAAGAGTCCGACTTCGCATGCCTTCCAGAGCGAGGGTGTCGAATCGCAACACACCGAACAGCATGGAGGAGCTTTCGTTGGTCGATCAGCTCACACAGGGTAAGGCAGCTAGCATGCTTCGAAGGGTAGGGGCAGCCCTTGTTGCCGACCTAGGCAAGGTTCCTATCTATCCGAGCTCTTCAAAGGTATGTGGTGGTCTGTGCCTCCATAGTATATAGTCATGACGAATGGACATCCAACCCACAGACAACGCGCGTCCATTAACAACGAACGATCTGTGGGATGTGGGGGCAGCTCCGAGTTGGAGTTGCTTTCTATGGGGATTGATCCTACATTTTGACCCTTCAACCACAGTCCGACAGGCTTCCAATCCCGGGGCCAACTGACAAACATCAATTTGCATAAGTCCAATGAGAACTCATGTTAGATATACCTAATATTTATATATTTACACATATGATCACATATATATATATATATGTACAGTATATCATCAAACATAAAATTCGAGATCCAGCGTCCGAAAGCCCAAGCCAGCCTGAGAAGGTGCGACCTTGGAGGCACTGGAGCCTCAGGTAAAAACTCTGAGGTAAACCTCGAGATCTTGATCCAATGGTTCTCACTGGGATGCAAAAGCACAACGTAACCCATGTACATCAGCTCTACCCAAACACTCCATGGGGACTGCCATATATGCCTACATTGACCCCCCAAAACCATCCCAACTGATTGGCATCTGCAGTTCCATGGGTCGTGTCTGGGCTATAACATGTTTCCAACAAACAATATGTCCGTGGGAATCTCCCTCCCAGCTCTCACAGAGCTCTCGCCGTGGCAGGACATCCTCTGTCGAGCTCGCTCGTCGATTCGCCAGACCCGACGGGCTCGTCCCTGCAGAACGCGACAAACGCGTGGCGACCAAGGGTGACCAAATGGGAAAGCGCTTTTAGTCGGGTTCCAGGTCACCTGCATCATGTTGCAAATGGGAACGCGACATTGTGGCGCTATGGATGCGCCAAAAATGCTCAAACATGTGACCCCAGCTCCGAGAAACCGCGCTGTGTATTTAAAAAGGACTGCCAAACATGTCCAAAGGAAAACCTGTCCGCAAATCACTGCTTCGAGGACTTCGTCGTCCAACTACGGTGCCTTCGATTTCTACCAACGTTGCAGCATGCCAATCTTTGTCTATGTAGAAAGGAAAACAAAAGAAACAAGGTCCAAAAGGTCTCAATGCATGTTTGATCATGTTTGTATTGGTTTAATGTTGCACAAACTCATCATCCATTCATCCATGTCTGCTCGTCCTTGGGAAGGGAGTGCCAAACTCCCATTGAGGGAACCCTCAAACCGCTGCAACACAAGTCCAAGTATGCTATTTCTTCTATTTTTAGGAAAATAGTGTAATATAATATAGAATTCAAATATAAATAAATATATATATCTAAATCACTCTATAAATCAACATATACCGCCCTCAACTTATGTAACCTGTAGATCCAGCACATCCCCAACGGACCGACCAACGCTGTGCCGTCCAAGTCGCCGGAGTCGCCGCTCACTCCCAGCGCCAAGCGGGGCACAGTCAAGAACCTCGGTGCGGGACTTCTGGGCGGAAGGCGCGGTTTTTGGGTTGGAACGTGGAACACACAGGCAGAAACAAAGAAAACAAGAATCAAACCGAACCATGACATACTATTTTAGTGAACCAAACCGCCTGAGACCATGTGACTAGCTATCTATGGAGGATTAAGTGACGTGTAAAGTTGGGATTCACTTGTTACAGTTCGCGAAAAGGAGGCAAATATCAAATGGCAACAACCTATCAAAGTCTCTTTCCGTCAAAGACTTGCCGTTGGTTTTTGAGACTGTCCATCATACAATACACCGAATTCCAACAACCACCAAAAGAGCTTCGGTGGATCGCGGTAAACAGAAACAATGGGACGAACTGCGGTCCGGCACCGCCGGCACCAGCCTTGACGAGCCGAGCATTCCGCGTAAAGAACACATTGTGGTAGCGAGGTCCAAACTCCGCAGGTTAGCAAAGATGCATCCCGAGTTACATCTCAGAATACACTGTAAAGCATCTGAGATGTGGAAACAAGGTGTATAACAGGGTTGCCATGCGTGCATATACTATATATGTAAATCGATGTTTGTGTGCATAGAGCAAATAATCTAGTTGGATCCCTATAGCATCACCCAGTCCTATCAGTCTCCAAAGTGCTAAGCTGCGTGCCACTTGTTGTTCAACAGCTCTTTGGCTGACGGACGGCGGATCACGTTGGGCCTTGGCGGTTTTTCTTCCCAAGGCAGGGCCTGGCAGGGCTACACTTCCTGGGGAGATCAGGGTGGTCTAATGGGTGGCCCTTATTCCAGAATGTATATTCTACACCATATATTCTACTATATATAGTGGGTTTCATAAACTTGACATCTTCGGAGGGGTCCAAAAATCTGGGTTGACACTATGAAACTCACTATATAGCCTGAAAGTCCAATTTCAAAAATTGTCTTTAGGTCACCCGAACAGGAAGATCCTGCAAACTTCAGTGGTGCAAAGCAATAGTATTTTCCCAGCATTTAGGCTTCGACGCGGCACCAAAGACAATGACCTAATAGCAATGGCCTCCAACCTAATAGCAATGGCCTCCTAACTAGTAGCAATGGCCTCCACCCTAACAGCAATGGCCTCCAACCTAATAGCCATGGCCTAAGTGGCTTCAACGAGATGGCTGACATGCTGCGACAAACACAAAGAGTTCCTTCTTGTCCAGGAAAGGTCCCCAACCTGGCGAGCATTTTTTGGGATGAGTCGCTCGAGCCTAAGCCCTCTACTGGTCGGAGGTTGACATTCATCTTCGATGAGCGCCAAGGACTCCGCTGTGCTTCCGAGCCATTTTGCAAATTTTTGCCATGCGCATGTCCGATGGCGTCACAATGAAAGCTGATTCCTTCCAAGCACGGCTGGAGGTTCATTTGGGCTATCTGGCTCTCCAATTTGCGGAGGCAACGCAACTTCCGTGAAACTCCTTGGGTGGATTCCAATGCAAAAAAATGCCACGGCTGCAGCAAGTAGAACTGAGAGCAGGAAAACGCATTCGGACAAATGGGGAACGACGATCTCCAAGCTGTCCTTAAAAATACCCACAAGAAACATAATGTACCGTTCGAATTGCACAAAACCCGCAAATGCTGCGACAGTGCACAGGAGGATGCCAAAGGTGACCAAAGTGTCGCAGAATGGTCCTTCACGTTTCTTCCGAAAAGCACATGACAATCTCATACTAAAGACCAAGAGAGTTGGCACAACCCCCAACCACCACCCAGCACCGCGAAGGATGGCCACATCCAGGGCAGATCGCCAGGTTCTGCCCGGCCATTGATCAAGGTAGTGCAGCATGGCCCCTGCCATGTCTAGATGCGACCACAGCAAGGGAATGGTGGCAGTAATGCAATGCCGGTATGTGAAGAACTGCGATGAAAGCTCTTCCAAAAGGCATTTCAGGACCTCTCTTCGCACCATCTGCTCAAAGACTTCTAATGTGCCAAACCAGGTACGGATACATTGCAGTAAAACCATCCGATCACATATCTGGATCGGATTCCCAGAACGATCCACATGGTTTCTCTGGCAACAAAAGCACTCGGTCTCTTCCAAAGAGAAATGGGATAACCTGGCCCAAGCGATCCGCAAAGAAAACCCGAACACCTTAATGGTCTCATCTTATGTCTTATATACCTACCCTTCAGGGTGATGGCTTTATAATGTTGGATCACGATTAGTAAACCGGTCCGCAATAATGCTAAATTTTCCAAAATCATTCAGGACCCCCTGTTTGAAAAAGTAGTCCTGAATAATGCAATTTTTTGAGGGGACCCTAAATTCTTTATATTGGAACACCACATTAAAAAGGGTTTGAACTCCTTCTGAGGCCAATGATTATGATTCATTAGCTGATATGGTTTTCTCTAGGTTTCTTCAAAACTGACAGCTGACCAAAACCACCAATTCCTAATTAAACCCTTTATAAAACATTGCTCCTA